CTCTCAGACTGAAGAAGTCTCTTGGAGGAGAGACGAAACGTTTCATTAGAGAAGAACCCGTCCAGAAGACCTATACAATTTTTTTCTTTTTGTGTCTTGTATAGAAAATACAACAAACAGCAAACATGTTTCTATGAGAGAGAAAAAAAATCTATTGTTTTCATTGTCAAATAAGAACAAAGTAAAGCACACAAACACTCAAATGACAACAGAAAGACACGGCTGAGTAACAGTGAAACATGCTGATACAGATGGCATTTCAACACAAAGCTCACCATCCTGCAGGGCCCATGGTCTCAGCTCTGACCCGGGCTCGGTCGGTCTCTCTCAGGAGCTCCTCTACTGCACGCCTGGATGGACGGAACCAAAACAAACAAGAATAAGTCAAACAGAAGCCCCATGGAGGACAGACATGACGTAAAACACTGCAAGGTAAGCCTAAAAGACATGCTGTCGTAGTACCTTAGTGAATAAATATAGAACTACAGCTATGGCATTCAGCCACAAAACACAGGAAGCTAAAGTCAGCTAACTGAACCTACAACACAATAATAGCAACAAACAGCGCCTGACTTCCTGCTGATGAGCAGTGTTAAAATTTAGAAAACAGAAATACCCGGGCCCGGAGGAGGAGAGTGTGTCTGCGCTGCAAACAGCACGAAAAATGTACATCTACTGACGATAATTATCTATAAAGCTACTCACTTTTCCAGTTCAGTGTCTTCTGCCATCTTTGCCCCGAATGTAACAAACTACTACATGCAAAAAAATTCCGAATAAACTCGAAACATTTATGATGATTAACGTAGCATCGTTTGTTTATGTCGATGAGAGGTCCTTCAGCTGAGGACCCGGTGTTTTTAGCTGTCATAAATAATGCCTGACCGTTTGTAACCTTAAAAAACTCAGAACCTCATTAAACAGTGGCCTTCATAACTACCTACATAGGCTTAATCCCTTTGTTTTTGTTCGTCTCTATCTATCTATCTATCTATCTATCTATCTATCTATCTATCTATCTATCTATCTATCTATCTATCTATCTATCTATCTATCTATCTATCTAT